TAATTATTAAGGCCCCTACATTATTCGGTTTCGGGGGGATGGCGTTTGTTTGCCAGTTCGCTGCCTCAACCTGTGAAACCCTCAGCAACCTCTCCGACAGACGAAGCCATATGACAAACCTCCCAACCGCAAAACAGATTGATCCGATCGCACCAATGACGCGGAACGGCAAAGAACAAAATCCCGCGCCACTTCACAACCCTCCTCGATGGTTGAAACATTGGAAATGCACAAGTCGAGGCACAAGCAAGCCTTTACACCAGGTTTCAAGGAAGCCTTGGTGAATCGGACCAAACTACAAGCAAGCCCTACAACTTCAACTCTAAACCCAAATGAACCCCTGCAGTCTGTAGCCCCCGATGAAACCCCAAAGCCTCAATATGACCCTAGATCTCAGCAAAGCCGAGACACAAAACCACCTTCGTGGCAATCCGCCCACGACCGTGGCCCAAGCTGGAGCAACTCTTATGCAAGTGTTCCCTAAACCCGTAAAACCCCCAAACCATGTTTTTTTCTGACATAGCTTACAAAGACAGGACCGGCACGAATAAGTAGAACATCTAGTAGCCTCATAAAACTTGTACAGTACAACATGCGCCCCCCTCACCAAAACCCCAGTATAATCACTATGGCCCCCTACTTGGAGGTTCATGAGTAGTTATAAGTGGGGTTATAAGTCCTCTTATATGGGTTATAATTATAGTTACCCTACTTATATCCCCAGTTATAACTACCCATGAACCCGTCTGAATAAACAGGGGTTTGAATAGGCAAGGCACTTCCGGTTGCAGCCCTGTTCTAAGTATTCAGAGTCCTCTCATGCGCAGGGTAAGCTTCCGCCGTGCCTCTTTAGAGGCTTCAGGCGCTTTCTAGGTCAACCGATGCGAACCGCAACCCTAAACCCTAAACCCTACCTACAGTCTCCATTGTAGTTCCTTTTTGGGGATACCTTATAAGCTCCTTATTATATTCTTGGTTAAACCAAGAAAAGGAACTACAATGGAGACTATAGGCAAACCCCAGAAATTTTGAGCAGAGCCCAGTTTGGGTATACTTGCGGCTGCCCGCAGCCTTGCGCACTTTGCATTCCGGACCGTAGGCCCGAGAATATGGAAGCCTTATAAGAATTGCCATTATTACTGTTAGGGCTCCTTATTACAATGCTACAAAGCTGCCCAAAACCCTATTCTAAATATTCGGGCCCCTATATTAAACCACTCAGCCTGAAGTGCCTCAGACACCATGGTTTTTTTTTATTCTGCAGGAGGAGTCAACGCATGTAGTAAAATGCAGTAAGGCTTGCCTCCATCACCGTTTCACCTTAACATGAGCACGAGGCCCAACATCGTTGGATCTATACTCTACCGAGTACTTCAACTCTAAATACCGAAACCTCCGATCCAGAAATTGTGAACCCAATGACGCCCCCTTCACATCAAGTCGGGGCCTCGAGTTCAGGGTTCAGCATGTCGGGTGAAGTGCCTAGCGTCTCCGAAACCCTTGTCACTTTCAAATCGAATCTGGGCTTGTCAATCTCGAAACCTACATCCCGAGCATAACATCCGTAAACCTTATAACCTTTTCTTCCTATAAATAAACTCCAAGCACTATGCCCTAGCCTTCGGAAGCCATACTTCTTATAAATGGGGTCATAAGTATGGTAACCATACTTATGACCATATTTAGGGGACTTATAACCCCACTTATGACTAACCCTAAACCCTATAGAACCCTTTACAGGAATAGCTACCCATGAACCTCCAAGTAAGGTATGACATGGAGGCCGTGTCGGTGAGTCTTGGTGAGGAGCTGCACCCGCTAAGCCCCAAGCCGCACAAGGAGCAGGGACTCATGAAGCCCTGGCGCCCTGGCATCAGTAGGGGGGTTTAGGATTTAGGGTTGAGGGTTTGCGGTTTAGGTTTGTGGGTTTAGGGCTTTAGGGTTTATAGGGTTTGAGGTTTAAGGTTTTGGGTTTAGGGTTAGACTATACTTATAAGAAGGAGCCCTCAAAACAGTATACTTGCAATTATTTAGGCCCCGATATACAACTCATCCTATCATGGCCTTCGATCAAGGACTTGGAATCAGAGAGGAGTTCAGTTGCGTTTGGCAGATGGCTGTAGGACCTTGAATAGGCTGCTTGCGATTTCAGGGTGAAGGGTTTGGGTTTCTTAAAGCCCCGATCTGCCAATTTGTAGGTGTGCTGCTAGTGAACACGGCGACGACGATTTGATGCTCAAGCCTCTCCCCCTAAACCCTAAACCCAAAACCCTAAATCCTAAACCCTAAACCCTAAACCCTAAACCCTAGCACGCCAGAACCCAGAGATACGTTGCCGTTGGCCGAAGCCAGGGAAGAATGCACTTGAAGATGGCTGGAAAGCCACATTTAGGGCTTTGGGTTTAGGGTTTAGGGTTTATTTTCAGACACCCATCGTGCTTTTTGTTGTAGGGGGGATCCTTATACACTGTACATGTTCAGATGCGCTCTACGTCCCAACCGTGTTAGCACAGCCTATGGTAGGCTCGATGCTCAACGAATAGCAGCTTCAGTTCTGTGAAGACCTCTGAAAGGGGCTTTTGGGAAGCCTCAAAGACCGAAACGCCGAGGACCTTTAACATGGCATGTGACGTTTCCGGGGCAGATGGCTCTACCAAGTTCAGCTACGACCGTATCTTGAACATGGGCCTTTCTGCCTCATTAAGCGAGGGTTTAGGGTTTAGGGTTTAGGATTCCTGCAACGTTTCTTCTGGATCAAGGTAGTCTATCGGGTCCCTCTTCTTCAAAGCTCCATCATGCCGCTCTTTTAATCCGATCAGCGTGCCTCTACTATGCTGCAACTCATCGCAAATCCTCTGCACCCTACACCCTGAGCGTAAGCCATAAGTCTCTAAACCATTGCCCTAAGGGTCCAAATACCCAAATAGTGGGGTTTCAAGGTCCAAAAACCACTCAGAGTATGGATTTTGGGACCTAAAACCTTACTACTTGGGTACTCGGGCCCTCTGGGTTGGCTACATGGCGGGTGTGACGAAGGAGTCTCAAGATCCAAGGGTCTACTCCGGCCCCCCACAGCCTCCCCTTTAGCTGAACATCCCATGCAGGCTTTAAGGCCTGCTTCTTTGGGCATCAACCCCTTGTTTTTCGTGGGATTAGTGCTTACGATGTACGTTTGGCCGACTTCAGAAGACTCTTGACAATGAGGAGCTTGAAGTGGGCTTGTGGTGGCCTTGAGCATAATACCGCCAAAGCGTGGAGTATTGAGGCTTCGAGTGTATAAAAAAGCACTGCAACGGCAAGCTGTGACCCTGACTGCCTGTGATATACAACCTCGAAGGCAGTTCGAAAGCGTAGGATTCTGAGTGAAGCACGAGGCAGTTAAGCTGGTCGAACGGATCTGCCACCAAACGATCTGGCGCTCGGATGTCGGTAGCCACAACAATGCGGCCCCGCATGAAGCCCTGCATCTAGTTTTCGATCTGACATGGTCAGCCTGTTGCAGTACAAAACCTGCTTCTCGCCTCAACAGGTAGAACCTTCCACTTCGTAATATGCCTTGGTGGTTTAGCCGTAGCACGAGGCTTGGTTTGGTCCTGTCCGGCGTGGGAGCTGGGATGTTTCTAAGGACTCCTTGCTGGCCACCCGATCCTCGACATCAGTTCGGATGGAGCCATCACCGTGGCTCCCGCAAGCACACTGAGTGCCTTGGTGCACAAGCAGACAGACAGTTCCGACTTGGGTATTTACTGTCATAGGATGCTGGGAGACCGTTGAGACAGCAGCGTTTTCAGAATCTCATCGCCTTGGTGAACGAGCTTTCATGTGTCTTCGTGGTATGTCGTGTGTAGGCCAGGGGTTTGCGGCCGTCTGACGCAAGTTGGGCAAAAGGTCTCTGCCAATTCTTTTGCTGTTCCCTAAACCCTAAACCCCTAAACCCCTAAACCCTAAACCCTAAACCGTGCCAAGCCCTTAGAGAGTTGATTTCCGTTCAGTTCCGTGTATGACGAGGCAGTCGCTAGGGCCACGGAAGCGGAATCCTAAACCCTTAACCCTACCTATAGTCTCCATTCTAGTTCCTTTTTGGGGAAACCTTACAAGATCCTTATAGTTTATATTTGGCTAAACCCAAAAAAAAGGAACTACAATGGAGACCATAGGTAGACCCCAAACCCGGGTTCGGCTGAGTTTAGAGTCTCGGAGGCAGAGTTTAGGGGTTTCTGCAAAGGCGTGACAAAGCCTGCACCGTGCCTAATATAGGGGCTTAAAGACCAATGCCTTTTTTGGAGGGGGGGGGGGCCTGTTATGATTACAGTATAACGGCATAGTGGGCCCCACCAACACCATATTCTAATAATTAATTCAGGCCCCTATATTGCCATGTCATGGGAACGAATGCTCAGGTGAGGTCTTCGATGCACTTAGTGTGACGGGCTCACAGCGCAAGGCAGGGTCTGCTTTCCGATCCGGAGCGTGGCGACATCTTCAAGAGCGCCCGAAGGGTACAGGGTTTAGGGTTTGGGATTTGCCGTCCCCGAAACGCAGAGCCAAAACTTCTTCAAGACCCATGAACCGCTCTTTGACATGCGGTTTAACTTCTTCACTTGAGTCTCTTCCTTCCAATTCCCAGATTGTCGATCCCAAACCACACACACGCACGGAGAAGGGCAGGAAGAGACCCTAAACCCCTAAACCCCTAAGCCCCAAACCCTAAACAAACCCCTAAACAGTAAACCCCTAAACCCCTGAACCCCTGAACCCCTGAAGATGAGATCAGCCCCGGGTCCCAGGTTTTCGGGGCTCTTCTCCTCTTCGGCCTCGGGGTGCGACGGCTTTTTTTTTTTGGCCGGTTCAGTGTTTCAGAAGTGTGGGCTCCGATTTTCGGGTTTCTTGTTGTGGTTGTATTAGTCTAATATCCACAAAAATGGGTCTCGCGTTGTAAAAATGTACAACAAAATCTTACGATCGTAAGGCCCCTATGTATGCTTGAGCCTGCCAGCGCCATGTTGGCTCCAAAGACGTTGCCGCATCTTCCGGCCATTCCCGGTGCTTTGCGGCCGCCTGCGTGCGCGGTGGGCTTGCGCTTTTCCAGGCTCTTGGGGGACAGGGTTTGATGTAGAGGTCGGGGAATACTTAGTAACAATAGCATCCTTATCGCTCGAAGATAATTGTAGAATATGCCTCCGAACACTGTTCTGCTTGCCTGAATATCATGGTGTTGAGGTGCTCAGGGTTGCGGCCTTTGCAGTAGCTGTTGAGGCTTCGTGGTATCGGCTTTGGAGGCCTAGACGGTTGTTTGCTGGACCTGGATGTCTGGCCGCGTGATGGACGTTTTGGGTCAAGGGTCCCTGCAGCATTAGTTCTGAGTTGTCAGAGACTGAAGGCACATGCCTAAACCCTAAACCCCAAACCCTCTGCCAGCAGCGCTGAAACCCACAACTGGCGCAGGTCGCCGTCTTTGAGTCTTCGGCCGAGGCAGAGTGTCGGGGTGCTCAGAGTGTTCGTTAGGGCGCTCTTTGTGTGCCAGATTAGGGCCTAGGGTTTAGGGTTTAGTGTGCCAGACAAAGGTCTGAAGAATTCGTAACAGTATCCCCCACATAGTCCTTATGCGCTGATACTCTACCCCGTTAAGAGTCATTAGGGTCCTTGTATTTCGGGCCTCGTGGTGTACGGCTCCAGGCTCTAGGATTCACAGAGAGCTTGCTGCTTAAGGCTGAGACTCCATAGATCAGGGGTTAAGGGTCGAGGGTTTAGTAGGGTTTAGGGATCTGGCAGCTGAGAAGAGCAGGTGCTCAGTCCGGACGGTCGGTTGCCAGCCAGCACCGACAAGCACCGACGAAGAATCCTAAACGGTGGCCGCTAGTTTGCTGTCATGGTTTATGGCGAGTTCTACATTACAAGGTAGTCGTAAGTGATGATCGGTGTGCTTTCAAAGTCGACTGGGTCTTGAATGCTCTTGATACGAGGCCCAGAGCCCCAACCCTAAACCCTAAACCCTAAACCCTAAACCCTAAGCCTCCTAGAGGTGCAGACGAGAGCGACCAGCAGACGCACTGCGATGAAAGGCCGGAGCTCTGGGACCCCGCGGGCCTAGCCTTCAAGACTGAGCCCTCAACTGCAAACTCCAAGTCTGATAGGGTTTAGGGTTTAGGGTTTAGGGTTTAGGTAAAGCCCACCCCAAACCCTGAGCCTTCAGCCCCAATGCAAAGCCAAAAAATATGCAGATTGGGGTAGGGATCTCCTAGTATAGAGGCCTGAGTAATGATGAACAGTATTCCCAAGGGTTCCTATATAAATATGCCAGCATACTATGCCCCAAACCGTATTCTAATTAAATCATGAAGGCCCCTATGTTGCTCGGAGACAGCTTGAACATGCTAGCTGGTACTCTCTGTATGACGTGTTCCTCAGGTCCTGCGATGCGTCAAGAAAGCACATCCGGGAACCCTAAGCCCTAACCCTAACCCCTAACCCCTTAACCCTAAACCCTAAACCCTAAACCCCTAGCCCTAACCCAACCCTAAGCTTCTTACGCCCCAGAACCCTACAACAGCAAAGCCACTAAACCTCAAAAGCCCTGCCGTAAGACCTAAGCGCCAGAAGCCCTAAACCCTACAACCTAAAGGGCTTAAGCCAGAGAAGCCCTAAACCTTAAAACCCTAAACCCTACACCCCTAAACCCTAAACACTAAACCCTA